CGAAGAAAGGCTGTATTGAACCTTTGTATTACTGTTTGTCCAGTTGTCCAGTTGTTCTTCAGTTTTAAATTGGCCACAACTAGGTTGTGATCTGAAGCTATGTCAGCTCTTTTTCTGGTTCTCACATCTGCCATTGTCCTTCGGAACTTTTTATTGATGCAGATATGATCTATTTGGTTCTCTGTAGTGTGGTCCGGTGAGATCTATGTAGCCTTGTGTATACGCTTGTGTGGAAATATTGTGCCTCCTATGACCAATTTGTTGAATGCACATAGATTTGCAAATCTTTCTCCATTTTCGTTTCTTTCTCCCAGTCCATGTCGTCCCATAATATCTTCATATCCAGTGTTGTCTATTCCGACTTTGGCATTTAGATCTCCCATCAGAATAGTTAGGTCCTTTCTTGGGCATTTCTCAATGATTGACTGCAGCCGCTCGTAGAACTGATCTTTAATTTCGTCGTTGCTATCATTGGTGGGTGCATAACATTGGATAATATTCATTAAGATCCCCTCCTTCTTTGTTTTGAATGATGCTTTGATGATTCTGGATCCGTGAGATTCCCATCCTACAAGTGCATTTCGTGCTACTTTGGACAGCATTAGAGCAAATCCCTAAGTGTGTGGAGCATTTTCCTCTTCGTGACCGGAGTATAGCAGCATCTCTCCCGTAGCTAGCCTTTTCTGTCCAGCTTGGGTCCAGTGGGTTTCGCTGATTCCCAGTACTGCTAAGTTGTATCTCCTCATTTCCATTGCTATTTGACTGGTCTTCATGGTTTCCCACATTGTTCGAACGTTCCATGTACCTATAAAAAGTTTTGCTCTGGTTGTTAGAAGGGGCATCGGCCTTGTGGCTTCCGAAGGAGCTCGGCTTTCACCATGAAGCGTCATAATTCTTCTAAATGAAGACCTTCTAACTCCTAGGGCAGAGTTAAAATGGTTTGGATTATTTTTTCTGGTAAGCGTTTTTTTAGCGAGTTAGTTTTCTACGGGATGGGGACGCTAACCCCATGCCCAACCCTCCTCCTTTACCCGGGCTTGGGACCGGCAGCAACCCTATAAGAGCTACAGGCGGAGTTATGTTACCCACATCACCTAACATTATTGGTCATAAATGGTAAATTGATAGCAAAGTTAACTTAATCATATACAATAGCTGACATGAACTTTGGGAAACTGAAATACTTTGGTTTTGTCTACCTACTCGGTTTGTAGAGTATAATGTTTATGCTTAGAAGATAATTTGTATCATAAAATAATCCCGCTTGAACAATTGATAAAAACCATAAAGTAATGAGTACAAATGAGTATGAAATGACAAACTTAAAGTGAATAATATTCCGTTATCTGGTTCTTCTCAAGTTGTCTCAAATAAATTTTTTTAACTATAAGAGTAAAATGACCACTGATATGAATACTCATAGACTAAAATTTTTCTTAGATGAATTTGTCAACCATTGAGCAAAATAAGCGAGAAAACTTTATCTTTCATTGAACAATTTACAGGTAATAGAATAAACAACTTATGGTAAAACTCCAGGTAATTACTATTCGTATTCGATAACAGATAATGTTGTAATTTTGAAAACGTAATAAAACTTGAGCTTAAATTGTATTTCAAACCAATGAAAACGTTCATCTTATTAGAATCATACTTTTATTAAATGACACATTGATTAACAATTGATCTTGGCTATGCTTATTTACGCCGGTTACCCCTTATGGAGGAACATAAGTTGCCCACCAGTATTCTCCATCCAACTGTGACCTGCGCAATCCTATCCAGTTGTTTCTAGTTGCTCCTTATTCTCGTCATATCTGCTTCTGATTTCCAACGTACTGATTTCTTCGTCCTTCCACTTTTCTGTTTCCCCTCAAGACTAAACGTTAGGGCTTGCCTCATGATGCAGTTTCGTGATTTCCATACTGTTTGTCCCATCCACTTTTGACGTCTTTTCCTAATTTCCTCCTCAGCTGGAACCGAGTTTGTTCACTCTCATAGCAGGCTATGGATGATGGTATCCAACCAACGGTCATTGAGTATCATACGTAGACAACTGTTTATAAATACTTGTACATGTTTGACGATGATTGTGGGTAGTTATACAACTTTTATCTCTGTACAGTCGAACTGTCTTGAAGTTCATATTGAAGATTCTTACTTTGGTGTTGGTTGACAGTTGTTTTGAGTTCCATATGTTCTTCAATTGTAGGAATGCTGCATTTGATTTGCCAATCCGTGTATTTACGTCTTCATCGGGTCCTCCACGTTCATTGATGATGCTGTTCAGATACGTGAAACTTTCCACCTGTTCCGGAGTTTCTCCATCAAGTGTGATTGGATTGGTGTTCTCCAGATTTTATTTGGAGATTTTACTTTTTCCCTTTTGTATGTTGAGACACACTGATGGAGAGGCTACTGCTACACTAGTTGTTTTCATCTATTTATGTATATGAGCTAGGTCATCGGTAAAGTTCAAACCTTCTTATTGCATCCAAACTGTCTATCATGTTTCGCGTTTCCACTCGGATATCGAGGCCTTCATAACCCAGTCAACCACCAGAAGAAAGACGATGGATGAGAGTAAGCAGCCCTGTTTGACACTGGTGCTCATTTCGAGTGCAACTGTCAGCTGTCTTCCATACACGATTTTGCACTGTAGTTGGTCGTATGAATTCCATACGATATTGACGATCGTCTCAGGTACACCATAATGTCGAAGAACTTTCCATAATCTTCTCCTATACACATTGTCAAACGCCTCCTCATAGTCAATGAAGTTGATGTATAGTGACGAGTTCCATCCAAATGACTGTTCAACGATGATATGTATTGTCACGATTTGGTCTGTGCACGACCGATCTTTACAGAATCCGGTCTGTTGATCTAGATGTTGAGCGTCTACCGAATCTTTTATTAGGTTCAACAACGCTCTGTTGAATTCATTTCGTGATACTGACAGTAGTGTGATAAGTCTGTAGATCCACATTTGCTTAGATATTCTTTCTATGGTATCTTGATGAGGTGTTATTCCTTCCAGTCTGTTTGTGACAATTGTTCCTTCCCTCCAATTCTTCCTGACTAAAACATGAAGCATGTTTGTAGTTACTTCTAAGTCCAACTTCAGTGTCACGACAGATACAATGTTCGTTGCTTCTGCTTTCTTATTCTTGATATCTTTAATGGCTTTCTTCATTTCCATGATAATTCTGCTTTGATGTCCACTAGACTCAATAGCGCTGGTCTTTTTAAGAGTTCCTCGAAGTATTCCACTCATCTATTCCTCTGTTATTGATTCTCAGTGGTTGACTTGCCTTCTTTATCCTTGACCAGTCTCTCTGGTTTACCATATATCCTTACCAGTTTCTTCGTCGTGACATATAGTTGTCCGATGTATCATTCTCTTGCATCTTTTTCCGTTGTCGTTGTTAGGTCTTCCACGTTCTTCTACTTGTCGGCCCTAGTGCCTCTCATTACTTGCTTGTTTGTTTCTATGTATTCACATTGTGGATTGACTTTTTTCCATTCTCGTTGGGCTGTTGTTAATTACTGTCTTCTTGTTCTTCCTCTCCCCGAATCATGTCCAGGATTGCGATAGAGATCCATTCCTCATGAAGATGTTTGTTGCGAACCGACATCTCCTGACACGTTGAAATTAGTGTTCCTTTAATCCTTCTTCCGGTTGTCCTCCATGGTACTTTCATCTTCTTTCGGAAGATCTTGTGGGGCTTGGAACCTGTTGATGAGTGGTATTTCGAATCCGTTGAGTTTGTCAGTATCTTGAAAGAAGGCTGTTTTGAGCCTTTGTACTGCTGTTTCCCCACTTGTCCAGTGTCTTTTTAGCTTCAGTTTCATCTTTGCCACAACCAGGTAGTCATATGAAGCTATATCAGCTCCTCTCCTGGTCCTCACGCTTTCCATGACCTTCTGAAATTTTTACTGACAGAAATATAATTAATCTTATTCTCTGTACTTTGATCCGATGAGGCTTATGTAGCTTTGTGTAGGCGTTTTTCGGTTAATATTTCTGTCACATTTTAACTATCGAAGCACTTATTTAAACTGTTACACAGTATTGTTATCATATTTTGATTCGTTTTAATGATTGATGGTTTCAACTGAAAGTTACTGAATTTTTGAATTCATTAATCATAACAGTAATTATATAAGCCACTTATTGGTTAACAGATTAATCAAAATGAACTAATCTTATGAAATTACTAACATAAACTAAATTTTTCCCAAAACTGTATACACAAGAACTCAATGATATATGTGCATGAAATAAAATCATTTCCGATTCTTATCATATGATATCAATGAATGATTACATGAGAAGTAAATACAAATAATATATACATAGAATGAAGCTTCAAAAGAAAAGTAACCAAATTCATCCCATATATAATATTGTTTCTAGAAAAAAGAAAAACCTAAAAAAAAACAAAATATAAATAAATGAACCGACAATAAATATCATTCATATCATTTTATTACTAGTTTCATTGATAGTAATATAAATAGTTTTCATTCTATACAAAAGAACATAATTCTGCAACAAGAAAAGTAAGAAATTTAATATATATATATATTCCACAATTGACCATCCCATAGATTTGAAATTGTTTTTCTTTTCATTTTTGTTTTCTTCATTTTGTTCTTCTTTTTTCTTTATTAAATAAACAGTTAGTTCATTTAATAGTTAATACATTGTATATATTACCAGTGTTATATTTAATAACCAATCATATTTTATTGAAAGAAGAAAGAAAACTGAAAAAAAGAAAAATCAGTTTTATGCAGATTTTTTTGTCTCTTCTAAAATTTAAATATAACCAGTGAACAAAGAATTCCTTTCATAATGAATAATCCATCTTTAATTATTTACAGCATAGTAATTATTCCTAATTATGTCACTAAACATTTAAACAAACAAATTGTAATACATTGAATATTGAACAAAATAAATTACATTTCAACATTAACTAAAACAAAACAAAGTTTTTTTTAAAAAATTATTTTTCAAATGATGTAATAATCTTTAATCAATGATTTCATTACATAATAAAATACAAAATAATCATTCAAAACATATCAGATTTAATAATCATTTATCATTTTCCCCATTGATTATAACAAATCAATATCCATCAGATTTCAATGTGAATTGTTCATCGAATTTAATCATTAATAATATTGTAAATTTAGATACAATATTTCATTTATTACATCATTATGATAAATCATTATGGAATAAACAAAATCTTAATAAAAACTTTAAACACTATTCAATTATTTCTAAGATATTCAATTTAAATAATCCTCTTTATAAGAATTTATTGTAAGTAGTATTTTTAAAAAAATAGAAAATAAAAATTAAATTTTTGTTTTAAATTTATTGATCATTTAAAATATAAAAAAAAGAGTATGAAAAACAAACAAATACATGAAGATTATGTAATTTTTATTAAATATTGATTATAAATAAGATATGTCATTTCAATAATTGAGATCATGAATCCATTGAAGGTAAAGCATTATGGAAAACTTGGAAGTATTGGATAGATGTTTCGGTTTATTGTGCTCATCAGATTCAAAACCTGTACTTTCAGGTTTTTCATGATGGTCTCACTTCAATTGACTCACGATCTCAACTATTAAAATTATTATAATGTCCATAGAAAACCCCTTCTGTTACTAATCACTTTATGCTCACTGGTAACTGACTTCAAGAGTTCTAGTGAGAAGCAGTGACCAGTGGAGTTCAACCAGGTCTGTTGTGAGATAGTAACTCACTGAAGGCAATGGTGGATGTATTGCTTAATTTTGTGGATTAGTTGAAGTTAGACATTAAAACTGTTGGATGCCGGCCGGCTCAGTGGTCTGGATGTTAACTGTTCGCGTGCGAGACCAATAGGTCGTGGGTTCAAATCCTGCGAGATGGGATCGTGGATGCTTACTGATGAGGAGTCTCGAAATAGGACGAAACGGCCATCTAATGCTTTCTGGTTTTCGATAGAGGTCAAGCTTTAGTCGACTCATGAATTCAACTATTAAATTACTATTCATTATCGACTAACTTAATATTGTATGCTTTATTATTTAGATGACTGTGAAACATTGAGTGAAGCCAAAATAAACATTATTCATATATTGTATTGAATTCTAACGTTAAATTGTTTGTTAGAGTGAATCTTGTTGAGTTATACTGTAAAATTAGCTGTGTTAGGCTAAAATTTAGTTTCATCCAACTATAAATGTTTGTTTAATAATTCACTAAATTAGCTCATCAACTAATATTTCTTAAAACATTCGAATATCGTGTGTTTGATTACGAGTACAAAAGTAAATGTTTATTAACAAATTTTATTTGGTTGGGCGAAATCGGGAGAAATAACTTCATCCATGTTTTCTTGACATTTTTCACTTATGGATAAGATGTAAATTCAATTGTCGAATAACCTTTGGTTGTCCATACATTCTCAAGCGTTTGACTCAATGTCTCAATGAAACGCTTTTACCACTGTGTTATTTAGGTGACGTGTGATCTGTGAAAACAAGATAGCCTCATTGAACTGTCACCCACCTGTGCATCAGAATATCAAGTCAATCACGCTAGTAGTTAGACTGTAACTTGATCAGTATAATCCGATTTGTACCGCAAACTGCTAGCTATGACTTCGGATACTACTCAGTTCTCAAGTAGTACATAATACTATGATGCAACACTAACTTTATTGAAAGGAAAAATCCAGTAGGAATGTTTTTTGGAACCGCGCGGAATGACACTTTATTATATTTAAAGATATATTTGCTTCGCAATTGGTTTCTTAGAATTCATTGGTTTAGCCGTCTCAATAGAGATTAGATTCGTCAGTAGGTGTAGTCTTGACAATCAGTATGTAATTTGAAAAGCTGGAACAGTTTAAATATACCCGAGACAGAACTAACAATCAGAACTCTAAAGGAATATTCTTATCTCTTTTTGGTTACATTGGTTCATCTGATTCAATAATGCAAAATGTCAATAATGCCTTGCATCTATTGAAAGATTTTGCTTTATATGATGGTACTATCCGATACCCCGTTTAATCTCTAGATGGTCGTGGTGTTTTAATGCTCAACGAATAAACTATTTAGTTAAATGACCTTTGAAATGAAAGTCCCTTTTAAGGGGCTAATATCCATTGATTTAATAAGCTACATTTTTACTTACCGAAACAAGCATCAAGTGCAATAAAAAACCTTTTGTACATACTGATGCAGTAAGTAAGAACAACAGCATCGATAAATCGATTTCTCAGTCAGTCATATTGTTCACTAAATAATACAATCAATACGTAATAAATATTTATTTCCGGATCAATTTTATACAGTATTCAAGGCTTTTTCGTCCTCATTACTACAATATTCGCATGTGAACTAGATATTTTCAATAGTTAATAATACTGTTCAACATAGCTAGCGAACAAACAACAATTACTGACTAGATATCGCAGACACCATCAAAACAGTTATCGCGTAGTACAGCCATAAAGTAAAAACAATGTCTAGTAAGTTCAATCAGAGATTCCTTTATTTGTTCTGAAATAAGATAATTCTTTGAAAAAATATATGCAAAGTAAATAATAAAGCTCTTCATAATTCTTTTAGCATTTGATTTTGTGATCAATGTAAAATGTATATATAGTAAGCGGTTTAGCAAGCATATGTCTAGCTTTATAAAAGATAAATGAATCCTTAAACTCTCTAGTTAAGTAATTTATTTTCTTTATCGAATAGAGTTATGGTATTTAAGAAATCAGTAATTATTCAATAATTTCAATCACACATACCCTTCAGACTACTGAACATTGAAATGATTTATGAATATTTATGTAAGTATAGTCATATAGTATATCAGTATAAGTTTACTTTATATTCTGACATGTATGATCGATAACAAATATTTCTTATGAAAATAATGAGTACCAAGTACTAAGTGAAACAAGAAGTGATCTAATCCATAAAACGAATAGGGGTTGAGGTCAAAATCTCCTTATAATGAAGTTTCTTTAGTTTTTTCTTTATTACATTTCACTTTGTAATGTATATGAGTGAAATAACCAACAGGACAAGAATAAGAAGAAAGATTATTAATAATGATCAACTATCAGATTTTTATACAACTCTAAACATGGTAGAGACATTTTTTAAGTGAAGTAATATGAGTGGGTGTCGACTATGGTGTACCTCTGAAACATTTGCTGTGATATATATATATATATATGCATGATGTCAACAATAATATAATGTAGCATACCATTTAAAGAAAAAGTGAATTTTATCCAGGAAAATCGATCATTTCAGTGTCAATTTAATGATTATCATTAAATTTATAGATCAAATGTATATATGTATCTGTGTATCTGTGTAATCATAACAACTTTTTATAAGTTGGTTATCACAAGATAAAATTATTTCAAATTCACTATTACTTACAGAACAAAACTAAGATTGGTAATATTAATAATAATAAACATTGTGATGTATATCTATGTATAAACGACCAATGCTTCATGAGGTGCGAAACAAGCAGGAGTTAGGCAGTGATCATATAGCTGTCAAATTTAATGACAACAAAGTTGAAAATATTGTAACGTGAGTTACATTTTTATAAGTATTTAATAGATAAACCGAATAGATTGGTTGATATTTTAATCAAATTAGTACATTCTCATCCCAATATATAAGTGTATAATTATGTCTTATAGGTGAGATTAATATCAGTTAATATAGATTTGTTTCGGATGGTTTTGATTCACAAAAGTCGTTAATTTTACGAAATATTTTGTAATTTTTTATTACGAGTCAAATGAGATGTTATGTATATATAACTGAGTTGCTTCATGTAAATCTTTTGGTTATTGCTCGATCTTTGAATCAAGCAGGTTAAAAAAGTTGTGTAAGATGTTGTTCAAGACTGCTGAGATGGCCAGTTTACCATTAATATATTTTTAAGCCATACTAGTATTCATAAATCCCAATTGATATCATTAAATGATATCATGGATCACTCTGCATTGTTTAGAGTAATATTTCCATTATCATTGTTTGCTTCAAATGACTTAGATATAAACTAACCGATATAGATAGGATACTGTCTGAACATTAGAATTTGTTAAAAGGATATATCTCATGTATCCCCTTCCTTTAGCGGTATTAACTTGTCCCCTTATCTCAAAAGTCCTATTTCATGTTATCCTTAAATTTCGTAAAATACAAGGATAAGATAAAGAGTTTAGTGAGTTTTTTTCAGTTACCCGTCTTTCATGTCTTTGACTTTTTATTTAATTTATCATTTACAGTATTAGTAGGAGTTGCTTTACCAAGCGAATAGGTAACTACAATATTCAAAATACCACTAAGCTATATGGATCTTCTACAACTCGAACTCAGTTTCCCACTAAATGTTTAGTGGCTCTCGAATATCTGACTCTAATTGGATCATGTGATTATCGTGATCGGATTTTACATACTGTCAATCCTCACATATAATTATCGACTTAACTAGCGTTAATGAATAACAGGATTCAATAAAACAAATACGAGAATAAAGCTTGAATGCGTATATTTCATACAATCGTTGATCTGAATAAACAGTCAGAGAATCGCAGAGAAGGTAGCGAAGAGGAGAGAGAGAAGCGAAACAAAATGACATGCAGAGGAGAAGTTGAGAAAACCAACTCGATTTAACCAAGCATTAATTAACATTTATATTCAGATAAAAACAAGTTACAGACATGTGATGTGTAAGATAAGAGATTCACACATACACTTACATAAAAACAGTCAAGGTTGATAAGCAATTAATTAACAAAATCAAAATGGGACTCAAAAAGAATGAATAAATTGGCCTGTCCGGAAACTAGAAAAATTTATATGGGCTTGGACATAGCAACCGACAGATGAAATTATGAATTATTAAATTTCAATTCATTGGTTAAATGATTACATGTTAAAATTTCGGTTTGAGCGAAATGATGAGCAGCAATTATTAATGAGTAGTACTAGTAAAAAGTGTGCAACACAAATGGTGTCACTTATATCACTTTAACAAACATTATTACTTTTGTCGTGATCAAACTATTGAAAAGAAATAGAGTTGTAGTTCTCAATAACATTTACGTACATCTTAGTTTTAATCATGGTTGTTTTAAGTTACGACATTTTGAATTGTGATGTTTTCATGAAGTTGTAAAACATTCTATTATTTCAGCTTCGGAAGCCACATATAAATTACCGGAATTTTTAAAATTTGCATAAATAGGTATTTAAGTCATTAAAATGTTAACAGTTTATAAAA